GGGGGGGGGGGGCAAATTTGATCATGTCATCTGAAGCCCTGGTGATCATTGCACATGCGCAATATAACATCGATATGACATCACCCAGCCCTAGTTTCAACCAGATAAATTAGTATTAAATTATAACACAAAACCTTTCTTATTTTAACAAGATACATTTATTGCTTAGATTGGCAAGTCTTACATGAGCAGAGCGTTTCAAGCCTCATGCAGTTCTTCCAGTTTTTACTAATACTTTTGGCTCAGTGCCACCGTGAGGATGGATCCCGACTGCTCACCACAACCACATCCCCTCGCCCGAACGAGCTCTCCAGTTATCTAAGAGCCGTAATCAGACTCTGCAAAATCCCTTGTGCATGAAGTTGGTAGGACCGGTTTGGCTGGTGTGAGGTATCATCTTGGCATGCAAGGCTAGTGCTGACCTGCCCCAGCTCTCCTTGGCTGTTTGTCATATAAATTAAAAGTGTGGTGCGTTCAATTTGGGTTGTTTCTGCAACTATTGTGGCCTCTAACTGTATACGCCGTTCCTGTCTCCCAAGCAGGGAGATGCCATCGTATGGTTAGCTCACATTTTAGAAGGTGGCTTGAGGGTCCAAGATACTTAAGCAAAAGCGTGTTGCATGGCAAGTGCCCTCTGGGAATTGCCAGTGTCTAGCTTGGTTGGGGAGTTCAAGTGTGTGAAAGTAAGACTACAACTGACTCTGTGTGAGTCCAAAGATGTAAGAGAGGCAGCCTTCTGTTAAAGCAGCATGCAGACGGGATCCTCCGAGAACTGTGCAGCAAGCTGAAGCAGATTTGAAGTTAAAGGAGATGGTAGGGCATGTGAAATACAGCAGAAGAGGACTAGGGTTAAAAGTTAGAAAACCATTTCGGAGCAAAGCAAGGGAGGCAGATTAGATTAGAGGCGAGGCAGTGTTGGGTAGGTGTGCTGTAGTGGCTGCTTCACAGGAACAGGCCCGTGGCTTCATTGGGAAAGTCTCGATAAAATGAAACTTAGATGGCTGAGGTTTCTTATCTACAATCTGTGTGGACAGGTGCTAACCCCAACTGTGAGTTGAGTACAGGAGTAGCCTTGCTGCAGCATATCTGATCAGGCTGTGCTGCCAGTCTGAGTCAAGGCAGATATACATGGAGTCAGGTCTTGACCTGTTTCGTCGACATTAGAAGGAAAAAGAAAGTCTGCAAATGGTCAGAGGCAGGTTAAAATTATTAGACAGGCTTTTGTTAAGGAAGCATGGAACAGCAGCCCACCATGTCCGTCTACAGGCAAGTGGGGGGGAAAGCGACTGGAGATTCTTTGTAGACCTTAATGCTTGACTAGTGGTTCCAATAGAAACAATGACATGTATTTTACAGCCTGATATGGTTTTCTGGCCAAGAGTCAAATATGTAGAGTATTTTATAGATTTAACACTGCTGAAGGAAAGATCAATTAAGGAAGCATGTCAGAGAAAAAAAATCCAAATATGCGGTTTGGTAGGTGATGCTGGTCAAAGAGTAAGGGCATACATTATCATGTTAGGGCAATGTAGATTAGCTGACGCGGTTTTGCGTCTAGATCAGTGACGTCACTTGGTTTTTCTGTTAATGAGTTAAAACAGGAACTCAAAATACTGATTAACGCTACGGAGGAAACAAGATTTTTAATATGGATTAGGTGACGGGACAGGCAGTTGGGAAAAGACCGCTAGGTGAGCACTCTTCTCCCTTTTTTTTCTCCTGCTGGCATGCGTGTTTTATGGAAATTAAGTATTTAAGGTTAAGGCAAAAACTTGTCCGTTATAGTATTATTTACCTGGTAAAGCATTGGTAAGCAGTTGTTGATCAGTTTTAATGGGTTTATTTATTCTAGAGATTTTATTTTAGCGGGACGAATTCCGTCAAGAATGGGGGTGTCGACGTCAGACTCATTGTTGAAACTTTTTCAGCGTAGTTGGCCTTAATTTGAATGAAGCACCAGTTTATTGGTGGTGGGGTACCTGATGACCTTGGTGATTTTCCGGGTTACAGATACTTAAGCAGAGTCGCGTCTTTTCTGTAATGGAACACAGCAGTTGCATCAAAGCAGGAGTTTTAGGTAGCGAATATTAAACCAGGCATTTACAGCATGTTATGTAGTTAAAGGGTAAGCATGACTATCCTGGTGCTGCGTGGGTGTGTGACGACATAGCCTGATGATTTCCACACGGTTCTTAAATCGGGCAAACTTTTTCTTTAGGGTTTTTAATGAACTGCCTGCTACGCATAGCCTATATATTCTGGGTATATTCTCCCGTGTAAGAAAAATGGACTTGATTAAAACGGCTTCGCTAAACTAAAGTATTTACTTATAGGACAAAGTGCAGGGTTGTTATCGCTATCCAAAACATTTCCGTAAACAAGATTAAAAAATAAAAACTACAACGAAAATCATAAATATTGCTTCCTAAACTGAAGTAGAATAAAAAACAAACATCACAACGTTTTAAATATTTAGCTAAAGTAATTATCTTTGGGCCTCTTTCGTGCAATGCACTTCAGCCATAGAAATAGCCATGGCAATTGCACTACAACATGACATTTTGTAGTAGCTAACAAAGTCCTACAACTTAATTCCCGTCTATCCGTAGAAATAAACTAACTAAAACATAAAAACTAAATAGACAAAAATCTTAAATAAAAATATAATAAAATCACACCGAAAAATAAAAACAAACTGAACCTGAAATGAAAATTTAGAACAACATTGTAAAAACTACATACATCGACCGGTATGTGGCATTGCATTTGCAAACGTACGTGTTGTAGTGAGTTTGTGCGTCCTTTTAATAAAACGGTGGCGACAGCTTTTTCTAAATGGAAATTCGGATCACCTGTTTATGAAAACAGCGGCACAGGCGTACTGTACAGTATATAAGCCAACAGTTCAAATGACGCTCACACTTACACACGTGCATGCATCCCACGGCAAACATGACATGGTTACTACGATTTCTATTTACAACATAAATACACGAATACACAGTAATTCACACTATTTACAGATCGCGCGGTGCAAGTATAATGTTGGTGAAGTCCAGCCTACCAACCCCGCAGCGTCACAGTACAGCATTTTATTTTAGTTTATGGGAATCTGTATAATCATGTAGCGAGGAATCATATCACTGCCGGGATTCGTAGACTTGCTAAACCACCCTATCTTCAAACGTTATAGCTATAATTGTTTTTCAGTCATTCGGAAAGTGCCCAAGCAACATTAGTCAACAACATTGCACAGCAGAATTGCTCAAACGCTCGTCACCCGGAGACTATCTGAAGGGCCAGAATTACTGGGTCAATCTGAATACCAAGAATACAAAAGTGATATTTGTGGTCTTGGCAATACTGTTCTTGCTAGTGGTGTGCGGATCGATACTGAAATATCGATACCTCAGATTCCAGATATTTATGTTCTAGGATCGATTCTCATATTCATATATGGATATTTTAGTAATTTGGGGTAACTGTGTAGTTTAACAGGAACATAGTATAAAGTAACAATACTATCAGGATCGTCTAAAATTATACCCAGATGATAGGAACAACTTCTTCCGCCTGTCATAGTCTGGGCGAAATACGGCTGTATAAATGCGTAGGCGTCGCAGCGCACGGTTGTGCTCAGTCACTCAGTTGTCAACAATGGCTGAGCGTAAGTGGAGTCATGTACGGAGCTGTTTCAGCTCCAAGACGCGGCTTGTGACATATGTGGCAAGATAGTGAGGTGTTGTGGAAACACTACAAACCTCGTCAAACGCCCCAGGGTAAATAATATAATAACACAGAATATGATGAGGCGAATGGAAGACGAGGAGAGAGACAGGTGCTGCTAGGGCGAGACAGGCGTCTCGCGGAGTCCTTTTCTGCTGCAGGCAGGCGCTATACAGGTACAGAGGGAGGAAATAAGGAGCTGCTGGCGACATGTGGCACTGTTGCTGAATTTTGGGAAAGTGACCTACGTCTGTCTACTAGGTTTAGGTTTTTGTGTTAACGTTTAAGCAACGGGAGTTCACCGCACTCTTAAAACTACGGAATCCCATTATGTTCAAATTTACATGAATAAATATGGATATGAAATAAGTAACGAAGTGATATGTGTGTCCCAGAGATCACCTCACATTCAAAAGGCTTAGATTTAATTGCATAGGCTAGGTGTCGCTAAAATATAGAGTACTTGCAATAAAACAGCCATTGTGGGCTTTAAAAAAATTAAAATACAGCTGAAAAATACGCAATTATTGTGGTATTTGTTTACTTAATTGTGTATTTTACTGGCAATTTAAATTTATGTCACATGGCATTCTATATAAAACAGCAAGTGTATGTAAACCATTAGTTCCTTCCCCCTTAGTGTAGGCTATTTTGAGAGTCTGCATACATAGCAGAATCCAAATAAGATTAAGCATTCAGTGCAGTGTAGCCCCATCATTTGTTTTGCCCCGTGTGTATTTTATATTGTTTGTAGATGATTCCCCTGGAGCAGCAACACTCACAAGATGCCTGGCAGAGATGATTGTGAAGGACCTCCAGCCTCTGTCCATAGTGGAGAGCCAAGGTTTCCAGGGATTTGTGATAGCTCTAGACCCAAAATATAAACTCCCAGGAAGGAAAAAATTGACAGAGACCCATCTTGTAAATATGTTTGATGAATGTAACGGCAAAGTAAGGGCATCTTTGCAAAATGCCACTAGTGTCATACTTACCACTGATATGTGGACTTCAGTGTCCACAGAGGCATATTTGAGCGTAACATGTGATCTCGTTGGAAACTGGCAAATGAGGGAATTTGTTTTGAAAACCCACACTTTCCATGGGCAGCATACAGCAGATAATATCAGCTTAGTGCAAATCACAGAAGAATGGGGCATAACTAAGAAGTTGGTTGCAGTTGTAACAGACAATGAGGCAAATATGGTTACTACAGTGCAAAAGGCTGGGTGGAGGCATCATCCATGTTTTGCACATACACTGAATTTAGTTGTAAATATTTTGTAATGTTATTTTGGGATGAGATGCTATGTGAGGTCATGTATAGTCTTTACAGCTTTTTTTTTGTCGTATATAATTGCGGAGGCCCTGAAGGGACCCTGTGCAAAAAAAAATAAAAAATGCGAAAGTATCTTGTGCACACGCAAAGGTAAGAGCATTTTATTTTTTTGCACAGGGTCCCTTCAGGAGCTCTATATATAACAAATGACACATAATCGAAATATCCAGTATACATGACTAATTATTCCTGGTATGATTACAGGTGCTCAATTTTTTCCACAAATAGCTTACACTTAAAATATTGGTGTGTTTTTCAACTCTGTACAAATGCTATATCAGGGTGTTAACCATTACAGTTCAGCACGAGCCAAAAAAGAAGTGAAAAACAGCAGGAAAATCCTGTATGACAGGAACAATGGAAACATTACTCTGATTAAGGTAGTAGAGTTATGGTTCGCACCTTCTTCCTCTGCCATAGTAACAGCATGCAATAAATCATGGGATTGTAGGGAGTTTTACCGTCCTCTGTACTGCTGTTCTTTAGTATTGGAGCTGCTCTTCGGCAATGGAAGATGACGTAAAATGGGTGCACAAGGACACAAGTACGGTCGAGTATGTGTATTGAGATCACCCACTACTGTATGTCTTGCAAGGTACTTATTTTCCAAGCAATACACCTAATGTGTGGAGTACCCCACGGCTCAACTATAAGACCCATGTTATTCAGCCTTTATATTGTACCGCCAGTGAGATTGCTCCGCATAGTGGTAGCCATTGACATTTCTCGGCATGCTTTGTGTATGTTATTATAAACACTTTCAGTGTTTTTCACTTTTGTTGTGTGTGCCCTTGCCTGTGTCATGTGTGAATCCTTTAGGTATCTAACCTTTAGGTAACTAATCACCGTGTGTGTGCCTTCCCATCCAGCATCAGACCTCTCTGCATTTCCCTGTTATGTCAGTCGGTGTGGTGGTTGTTGCTTGTGTTCATTTTAAGGACTATAATTTAGCAGGAGTGCTCTTTATTTAATGCCGTCTCCTCTGGTTTCTGCCTCTGTGATGCCTGGTAGACCCAGTCTACCAATAATGAGTAAATACAGCATCAGCTTCTATTGGAATGCTGTGACAGTGTAACCGAGACTGAAACCGCGATATAAATGCTCCAGAACTGCAAGATCCCACCCCCCCTCCCCCCAAACCGCTGCCACCGCTGCGGGTGCATCCTGTTGAGCTCTCATTATGTTCCTAATGTTGCAAAACAATTTTTTCATTTCACAATTAACACTATAATACATGTAAATCATTAAATTATTTATTCTAGTTAAAGAGCAAGTTGTTTATAAGTATTACAGATTTTGTCTTCCAACTGCCGGTGTCATGTGACTATTTTGGTCCAATCATCATAATCTAGTGGTCACGACTGCAGTAAACAAGGTGATGATACACAAGAAACTTTTTCAGCAATGTTGCTAACCAGGTGAGACAAAGGAGAACTCATTAGTTGATTGCGAAAAGTTGTTCAATGCCAGTCAAAGTTTTTAAAAATAGATTTGTTGCCCAATATCTATGGAATATCAATGGAAAAGTGCCCAAGCAGCATTCATTGGTCACCATAATGCGTGGCAACATTGCTCAAAAGGTTGCCCTGTATGTCGTCACCCTAAGACTATCTAATGGGCCAGAATTACTGGGTGAATCTGAATACCAAGAATGCAAAGATTGTACTTGTGGTGTTGGCAAGACTGGTCTTGCGACCTTGACTTCCGAGAACAATCTCGCAAGAACAAGAGGACAAAGAACGCAGCAATTTGGATTGAGACAAATGCGTACATTATGACTATAGAATGTTGCCAAGATTTGTGACACCAGCTCCTTTTATGATTGTGAAAATATGTACATATACTCTGTCTTCTGGATTAGACAACTGCAGTGCTCTCTTACCAGGCCTAAGAGTGCTATTAAAAGCTAACTATAGCATCGTAATCCTACTGCTAGAGTATTGACTTCACATTACAACAGTCATCCAAACTCCCCATTGGTAAGTTTTACCTTTTAATGTAATATATTTAAAAATCCTTATGAAGGTTAAGTTTTCCTTTATCAGCTAAAGACTCACAATGTC